TGAATCTTTACGGTAATAATCTTGGACCAGAAAGCGGAAAAGCGTTAGCAGATGTGCTTTGCAAGAATACTACGCTGACTTCTTTGAATCTTAGTAAGAATGATCTTGGATCAAACGGAGGTAAAGCATTAGCAGATGCACTTTGCAAGAATATTACGTTGACATCTTTGAATCTTAGTTCTAATAATCTTGGATCAGAGGGAGGAAAAGCGTTAGCAGATGTACTTTACAAGAACACTACGCTGACTTCTTTGAATCTTTATAATAATAATCTTGGACCAGAAGGAGGAAAGGCATTAGCGTATGCTATGTGCAAGAACACTACGCTGATTTCTTTGAATCTTGGATATAATCAACTTGGAATAGAAGGAGACACCACCTTGGCTTCTTTGATTCCAAATAATAACAATATTAAATTTAGAATAAGCCCAAAAAAATTAAAGAATAGAAATTTCATAATAACAAACTAACATGACAATAGCTCATCATACAGTTAAATATAATTACGGAAATTATAAAAACACATAATAAGTAAATCTTATCTTTCTGCTATTTATAAGAGCTCATATTGCATCGCCTGGATTAGCAAAAAATTTACATTTACAATTGATGGTAACGCTTACAAACAGGGATGGCACGTTATTATATTGGACATTTGATAATTTGGACATTTGGACAATGTCTAATTATCCAAATAATTTGATTGGACATAGTAACTTTTTTATTGACATTAAAAAAAATTAATTTAATCTTGGCCTAAATTAAACTTAATTCGGACCAATATTCACTAATACAAAATATATCTGATTTACTGTATATTTATAAAATATACTGATAGTAATAATAATAATTATTATTATTATTAGAAAATATGCATGAGTACGTACGTATTGACCTATTGAATCAGCTTAAATTCCATTTTACTTACAACATGTTTATATATGAACATACTCACACTAGATAGTTATAAAAATATATATTTTGTATTGCCCTAGTGAAATATGATTAATCAAATAGAATGTTAGAAACTGTAAAATGATTTGTATTTCAAAAAAAATAATGCAACAGTTGATTTTATTTTTAATTTTAAAATGAAGGCATATTATAAAAGAAAACACGCCAAATAAATAAAGTAGCCAAGGTCGACACTTTGAATTAGAAACATTCATCGATAAATTAACATTGTAAATTAAAGAGAAAAAAAGTTTATAAGAAATAAAAATAAATTGATAAGCATCATTATTGTAGTTAAAAGCAATAAAGCTTTTGTCGTCATATTCTTAAAATTGTCCAAAAAATTAATGGACTATTGGGTATAGTCCAATAATCTTACAATTTATTTGGAATCGTCTGAAGTGTTGGAAATTCAAAAGACAATATGATGATTTTTGTCAACATACTTTTTTTATTTTTATGTTCACATTAAAAAAAATAATAATCACAAATAAAATTTTATTAATTAGATAAAAATTATTTATGTTCACAAATGTGAACATAAAATAAAAAAATTGTGATTTTTTTAATAAATTTATGTTCACTGTGAACACCGTGAATATATGATTTCCAACACTGGTCCAAATTTCTAAATGTCCTATTGTCCAATTATATTTATTTTGACATTGTCCAATGCAAACCATTCTTACGAATTTATTTTCATAAAATACTTATTTTCAAACTATAATTCCTAAAATGAACTTTGGGATTCGGGGATTAAACTTATATCTAGAAATTAATAAAGGAAAGTCGATAATGAGTATTCATACTGAATGTCATAGATTTTTTACGCATTTAAATAATATATGCATTTAGATCATAAGAACTAATTTTTGATAATAAAATCATGGGAAATTTGGTATTAATGCAAACTTCGTCCTTGAAGTTGTCATAACGATTGAAAAATTACGTTAATCATAAAAATTTATGAAAGTATATGCATTTAGGTTGTATTCATTTGACCAGCAGTCAGAGTGCATGCACGAGTTAAGTTTTTTTCACGAAACCGTTTTTTAAACAACTTCTCTTTGAAAAATTAGGATTAGGCTGCCATCAATACAGCGTAAGTTTTTTATTAAATCTCTACTTCATGCAAAGTGTTGAAAAAATAGCAAACAAAAATCATCGCTACTCACCCAAAGACACGGATCATTTGATTCTGTCAATTTATAGCCAGTTTGTGTTCTTCCAACTCGGTCAATTACACACTTTTTTATCTTATACTTTGCTTACTTTGGTAATAAAAAAGTCTTTTCTGAATATTTTAGACAAATAGTGAATAGACTAGGAACACCACCGTTTGGTACTTCTGATCAATTTTAAGATTTTTGGTTCCAATAAAATCTTGATTTTTATTTATTGTCACAACGTCAAATTAATAAATTAACGGGATTTATTAATAAAAAAAAAAAAAATTCCTCGAAGATATAATGCTCTAAAATAGAATAACAAGCATTGAATGTAGTCGATTTAGCTTTGACCGATAAAATCGAAGGTGCTCTCAAGCGTTTCAATTAAATGATTAAATAATGATACTCAAGCATCACAATTAATGACGAAATTAAAAAATTAATGCTTGAACGTACGCTTTCTATTTTCGTAATCTTTGTTATCTGTTTAAAAAATTTCATAAAACTTTTTCTATTCACCAAAGCTTCAACTTAAGTTGCCTTTTAATGATTTTTACCAATTTAAAACTTTCGTTATAACAGCAATACATAGAATCAATTTATTGAATAATTAACGAAAGTTGTTTAAAATTGTTATTTTTTAGGTCGGGCAGAAACTTGTTAAGATACATTATTGTTATATTTTATATAAAAGAATATAAAGAAATGCTTAAGTATTCCTTTATTAGTGATAAATTATTAAAGAAAAGTTCGGTCAAGTGTAATGTTAGAAAATTTTCAGAGTAATGACTTAATTAAGGAATCTACAAGTTGCAGAACATTTAAAAACATTTAAAAGAAATTTTTTATAATAATGTTTGAAAATAAGGATTATAAATCAGTAATATTTATTTTAAAATTATAAGAAAAAAAATAAAGTTATTTATATAGTAAAAATTTTAAAAATCTTTTTTTCAAAAGTAAAATTTTAACTTAGCAATAAAATTTTTTTTTTCTCTTTAAAAATTTAAAAATTTAAAAGTTTAATAAAATTTTGGAATTGAATAAACTTCAAATTAAATATCTTTAAAAATTTTAAAGTTAAATTATAAATTTACAAATGATTAATTAAAAATAACTCAAATTTTCATTTTAACTTAGAAATAGGGGACATACTCTTAATAAAATTTTAATTATGGAAAAAAAGTATAAAAAATAATATTCCAGCGGTATATTTGGCCGCTGGACGGTTTAAGGGATAATAAAAATTTTTACTATTCATATTTTCATACTATCTATATCTTTTCCTTTTATGCCAAAAACGTTTGAAGTTGCTTATTTTAAAATGGCGTTTGGATACTATCGACGAAATCAAACTCGAAATTTGACTGGCTGTCATTCACGTTATTATCTACATCAATGTTAAGATTCTTCTGCTATACATTTAACATTTAATTATTCTCATCTATTTATTTTATTGAATATAGATTGAATTGCCATAATCCATTTAAAAATCTAAACTGTATTCACTTTCAAGACACGTTCGAATTCAATCATTGGGTAGAGGTTTTTTTTACATATTTTAACAGTCTCTCGATAACTGCTAAATGATGCAGTATCTAAATTTTATTTAGAAAATGTAAGAGGCTAATTTTTACTTTAGTTTTATTTTTCTAACTATATTATCTTAAGGATCGATTATAAAATATTGATCACAACTCCGAGATAAAATGCGATTTTGATAAACGAATTAGTTTGCTAACATTATTTGCATTTATGTCAAAGTTTCTAATATTCTTGGGTATTTTAGTTCCATTAAGATTTGATAATCTTCTCGCTATTTTGTAAAATTTCTTGAGTTCTTCTGCTGACAATTTTCTGGATTTTTATTCCAACATTGTTTCGTCATGTTCACATAGCATTGTGAAGCTTTCGTTATTAGTGGGCGGTTGAATATTACAGTCAGACCTCCCTAAATGCACGTCATCGGGACCAGCCTTAGAGCATGCATTTAGGGAGGGTTGCAATTAGAGAACACTAATAAAATCTTAATGTTACTATTATCATGCGATAAATATGGCTTTAGTAGCCTAAAAATGATGGATTTGATTGGTTAATAATCACGTGGTTGCATTTATGGAGGGAGTTTTTATAAGTGGGCCAGACTATTAGCGTGCAATTGCAGAATAAAGAACGTGCATTTATCTATAAGTCCCATTATGGGGCTAGTCTTCTATCGTGTATTTAGAGAGGTGTTGCATTTAGGGGGGTTGCATTTAGGGAGGTCTGACTGTATTAAATATTATTTGTATTATTTGATACTCATTTAACTTATAATTGCATAATACAGGATGGATTTACTATATTTATTTAGTCGGAGCAAAAAGAATTAAGGGGTAGTCCGTAGTTGAAGGGTATAATGCAGGTTGACATGGGTCAACAGATCGAAAAGAAAGGGAAGGATCTGGTCACGGTTACACACCACGTGCTACAACCTCAATTAAGGGTCAGGTGGCATGGGGCATGGGTCGGGATCTAGAGTCAATCAGTTAAGCGAAATTGCATGAATTATACGTCGCCAGAGATACGTAAGAGAAAAGCCACCGATCAGAATCAATCAATATATAAAGAATTAACGGCGGAAAAGTCATGTCCAACACTCTCTTTCCCCTTTAACAAAATAGTCTCTGGCGACAAAATTTTTCTTGATAAGCAAAACAAATAAATAAATAATAATAAATAATAATAAATAATAAACAACCAATAATAGTAGCGAAAAAAAAAAATTTTTTTTAAAGATAATAATAATAACAATTAATTATAAAGATCATATGTAAGCATAATAAATCCAAACAGAAACAGTAGTAGTATCGACGACGATATCTTACATTTTCAACCATGAGTGACACGGAATCGACCGCTCACGACCACGACATGGGTTCACGTATGACAAACAATCCAGCGTCGACAGTACCAAGGGCTGGGGTCGACACACACACATAGACCCCTTGGCAAAGGCATATATTGATGAGTCGATTCGATCGTCTGCCACGTCGATCATTCAGTCCATTAAACAATATATCGACTCTCAATTCGATTCTCACCTCGATAAGCAAAGGCAGTGGAATGAGCAACTCCAAGCCAACATTCTAATGCATTATCTCAAATGACACAGGCTAGCAGCGGGAGCAGCGCCGGAGCACATAAGGACACCTCAGTGCCGGAAGGTCACTCGGTATCACCACAGCAACCACATCAATCAACGGGCACCAACCTATTAACGGGTAAAGAAAAGGAAGCAGATCAATCAACAGGTAAATACCCCCCAACCCCAGTACTGAATGACCTTATAATGAAAGCATCTAGGGTTACTCTCCAGGGCCAGGATATTGGAACAACTGCTGCCGCTACACAACCCACTGTGCCACCCACTAATCTACACTTCATCAGAGTGGTATCTCAAAAGTACCCATTCTTCGACTACGCAAAGTTCAGAAATATTTGCAAAGTACAGGGGTTTTCTAATCCTTTCGCGGCAAGGACCGAGAGTATTCGGTTTTGGTGGGTCACTAATTGGTCGGAGGGCCAGAAACTGATTGAGACCCTCTCTGAATATATCTTCCAAACTATGGAAGGTGATTGCTTTTGGATATTATGTGAATCTCCAGAATTTCATGTACAAGAGCCTACTTTCCAGTATCAGGGACTCTGAGGACGAACCCACGTTACAATCAGCCGAGGGTAGTACGATCTCGATTAAGAAGTGGTCACACCACACAGCATTTGCAGACCTTTCTGAGTGGCTTCTTGCCTTCAAGGCTAACATGGACGCAGTCTTGGTCATATATAGTAACAGGGAATATGAGTTTAATTCCTACCGGGACCATATCAATGAACTGTGCCTTAAGCAGAGCTTCCATGCTGTAATGTCTTACAACGAAGACTATAGGGTAACTTTGGTTACGAACCGAGATTCAACACTCATTGATCGTGATGTGGAGGTTGAAGGCAGGAATTTCGACATTTCCACAGTGAAAAGGCTTAAGCATGATACATATCAGGCCACATGATTTGACATCAAATAGATGGATGGAAGAGAGATATGTATCAATTGGAACAAGCGGCATTGCGCAGACGAGAAGTCATGTAGAAGGGTCCATGCCTGTTTGATTTGTAGGAAAACCGGCCACAACGAACAGAGATGCTTCAGGAAAGTCGGTCTGAAGAAAGGGAACCCTTCCGATACTGACAAGGCTGGTAAAAACTCACAGCAGTGACATACCGGCATTCGATAAACGAACAATAATTATGATACAATAGCATAAATTAAATAAATAAATAAATATATATATATATAAAAAAAAGAAACAGTAAAAAAAAAAAAACCAACATAAACAGTAAAAAAAAAAAAAAGAGAAAACACAACAAAAAAAAAAAAAAAACAAAAAAAAAAAAGAGAAAGGAGAGCGACAATAATTACCAGCACGTTCCTTTATGCACATGTTCGATCAATAAACAATCTAGGTGGTAGCCTGCAGCGTTCAAACAAGGGTTGCATATAATTATGTTAAAACGGCACATGAACAATGGCGGTAACAACAGTGACACATGTAGTGACATCTCTAACAATTACAACGACGGAAACAGGGTCCCATGCGTTGCTTCAATGGTTTCCCACACATTGTATTCTGCGGATATCAAGTCCTTTATTTGGATTAATTGAATAGGAAGCGCATCAAAAGGACAATGGTTGTGTGCCGCCACCCTGTGCCAAAGGGATACATGTATAAAAGGAAAAAAAAAAAAAAAAAGAGAGGAATTAAATAACACCTTCGCTAGCCGGCATTCTTCTAATCGAAAGAAAAAAAAACAAAACAAATCACAATGATAACAGAAGTAAACATATAAGTAACCAAAGAAAGAAAAAAAAAAAAAAAAAAAAAGTAAGAACCCATGATGCTGATAAGAGAAAATGGGGTCAACTATAGCTCACATCGGTGTATAAGTATAGTCACTGATGCCACATTATTAATCACCGTCTCCATAAATAGGCGAGGTAATTTGGATTAAACACCAAGCCCAGTATAAGGCAGCGCGAGGTATCACAATATTCGAGGCCCCCAATCTTCAGTCAGTAGAGAGCACGATTTCAGCTATCCCTCCACGTCGGATGCCCATGACACCGACGGAAAAGGAAATTTTCAAGCAACTTGATCCTGGCGTCTTCAACATTTCCACACCTATTAACGGCAAAGCGTTTGGACACCTCACAAGTAGCCACTCTAATCGCCCATTTATTACTTACTTGATGGAAGGCCTCAACATGGGGTTTAGATTCAATTTTTCGGGCCGCAGGGCCAAAGTTATTCAAGAAAATTTGAAGACAATTGAGCTCGGCCCACTTTCCTTCAAGCGGTATATTCAGGATGAACTAACCCAAGGATGGATGTGTGGGCCCTTCTCAATACACCAACCACCATGTCCGATGTTTCAGGTTAACCCTTGCGGTTTGGTGGAAAAGAAAGATACAAACCTGAAGGCATACTGTATAAAATCACATCTCTCGGCACCTTTTGGTGCCAGCATAAACGATGGCATCAATAGAATTGAATTTAGTACACAGTATGAGACTATAAGCTATGCGATTAAATGGATCACATATTACGGGAAAGGGTGCATTCTATTGAAGATAGATATCAAGGATGCTTATAGAATCCTGCCCATTGTGAGGGGTGGCCAGATACCCTAGTAATTTTTTTTTACATACTATTCTATTTTTATTTTATTATCTTCTTTTTTTTATTCTTTTCCGCATCATTTGTATTAAGGCTTTGAAGTTGCCTATTTAGTAAATTGGATTAAGATTAGCATAACCGGTTGAGGACTGGTAATTATAACCGAACATCCTTACCTTATTTAGGATATTCGACATTTGGACATTTGAACATTTGGACATTTGGACATTTGAACATTTGAACATTTGGCGTTTCTTAAAATATTCAAATGTTTAAATGTTCAAGGCTTGGCAAGAGAAGCTATAATTAAAATTAGAAAACCCGTTGTATTTTCTTGAGCGCGAAAGCTATAAAAGCGCTGACTTTTTTCCCTAATAAAGAACAACTCAGTAGAGTTACAACTTCGAAATCATTTTAGTAGAAGTTTGTCCTTTAAAAATTATTATTTCCCTTGACCCAAAAACGTTCATAACAAAACCAATTGATAAAGTACTTTCCTGACCCGATATCTTGTTAGAAAATCGTTTTTATTGAAAGCTTCGTTAAGATAGAGTTGGAGTCTTCGAAATTCGAGTAGAAGTGCTCACTCTAGTTATCCAATTCACTTTAGTTATCCAATTCACTCTAGTTATCCAATTCACTCTAGTTATCCATTTCACTCCAAACTTTTATTAAGAGTTACTTACTCGATTAAATTGTTAGCTACATTTAAATACCCTGATATTAGTCTAGAGACCTAAATATCACTTATAACAAAACCCATTACCTGAAAGAGAACCCAAGTTTGCATTATTTCATCTCTTTTATAGTAGATTAGCTTGCTAACCCCGTGATCCATTGTTAGCGAACAATAAAGACCGATCATCAAAATTACCCGTGATCTCGTGACATCACCGGCAAAATCGAAGATCCGATCCCGATATTAATTACCCGTGACGCAAATTGCCAATCGTAGATTAAATTAAATCACCGATCGCCACCCGAAATCGTGATTTCGTCACACGTGACTCAAAAGACACAATACGTTCGAAATAGAATAGAAAAGTAGTGTTAGTAATAATATCGAAGATATTATTAAGCTAAGATTGCCAGTTTAAATAAGGGAAACTTATTCAAATCCCGGAAACAACATTGCAAGGCCCGAAGAACCTTAAAACCCGGACCAAATCTTTCCACGCCTCTTCCGAAGCCTTCCACCTTAAGGTTTTAGGTGTCTTGAAGCGAAAGATTGAATTAGTTAGAGTTTAGCTTAGTCAGATTAGCTAGTTTTAGTCCAAAATCGTTAGTCACGCCCTTCTCAACGTATGTAACATAATTTTGATTAGTTAATTGATGTCGCATTCTAATGCATGCATCTGTACGTACGTACGTTCCTATCGGATATGCTTTTTTTTTTACATAAATGCTTGTTTTATGAACGTGTATACAAAATAACAAAAAATTATAAAAACTCCGAACGGATCCACATAGCAAATTAAATAAAAAAATTCTGCTGATTATCCGAAAAAAAAGTGTTTAAATATAATGCTAAGAGCGAAAAGAAAACATGAGTAATTATGCATGTAATTCAATACTAATAAGCTAAAGATGTATAGTAAAAATGTAACAATTTTGAAATTACACTATAGCACCGGAGTTTGCTGAAAAATTGGAAGAATATTTAAAATCGAAACAAATAGAAAGCTTTGATCACTTGAAATTCGGAGATGTCAAACGTATTGGCGAAGGGGGTTTTGCTGTTGTTTATTCGGCGACTTTTAATGGAAAGACTTATGCATTGAAAAGTCTAAATAATAATTTGAAATTCGAAAAAGAAGAGTTCAATCAATTTAAACATGAGGTACAGTAATGTGATTAATATATTACTAACGTTAGATCTGAGCCCTCACAATCTTAAAATAACATAGATTAGGTGCCTTTATACGGTTAATATGAATAATCATCCAAATGTCATTAAATTCTATGGAATCTCCAGAGGCAAGAGTTTACAATTAGTCATATGTTACTGGTATACTATCTAAGACACCCTCTTTTTACAAAAACTTGATAAAAAGATGCCAAAATACAAGATTTAGCCTTCATAATTTTGGTATGATTCAAATAATCACGTTGAAAATGTTCACATTGCCGAAAGCTGCCCTTATAAAAGAATGTAATAACGACAAAGTTAGCATTTTGTATTCTCAAATTTTTTTTTATTAATCATTACGGCGCATTTACGAAGTATCCCAAAATTTAAAAAATTTGACTACTAATACGTAAATATAGGTTTAACTGAGATAATCAGCATTCCCCAAGTTATGATGCGTCATTTAATAAATTCTCATGTCTAATGAGATGCGTCGGGGTGTGGGAAAATGGGTTAGCATGTGGGAAAGATAGGTTGGACGCGTTATCAGTACAGGGTTCAAAATTTTTTTTCTGGGTTTAACATTGGTAATTGTTTGCTTAATTTCTCAAATGCACCATAATGTTATAAATAATTTCATATGTTTCTTATGAGGACATAAATTATAAATTTTATGTTCTCAAAAGAGAACAAAATATTTAGAGTTCTCAAATTTCTTTTTATTGTCGTTTGCAAAATGATAAGAAAATCAGTTTGCAATTGCACAATCGAGCGTTTGTTCGATCTGTAAAACCCGATCAAAGTTACATCATTTTGCAAACAGCGATAAATATTCGTGTATTATGTTCTTTCGGGAAAATAGCTTTCGGAAAGTGTACATAACCGAAACTGTTGGAATTGTACCAAAATATTATATTTGTTTTAGGTATACTATATGCATTATGGGATATTTGTTCGGAAAATACGTACTACAGTATAACCTCGATATAATGATAACTAAGATTATTTCTAATTTTTATGTTTAAATTAGCCCTGTTATAACGAAATTACTAATATAACGAAGCAAAACCTCAGCTTAAGAGCTTCGTTATATCGAGGTTATACTGTATTATAACCAAAATTTGCAGTTGCCTACCATCTAATAACACCATCCAATCGAATAATCTAGAAAATTCTGATCATTATGTCCAACTTATCGAATTTTGGACCATTTTCCTAACAAAAAATCCCAATATAATTACGCAATAAGCTTATATTTTGAACCAAAATTTTAGATCTTACGACAGGTAATTTCATGTTGGTATTACAGTACGCCAATGGTGGTAGTCTCCGAAAATATTTAAAGAGCAAGCAAAAAGATGGTGATTATAAAATTTCATGGGCCGAACTTATCCGAGTTGCGAAAGAAATTACACTTGGATTAAAACATCTGCACGAAAATGATGTAATTCACCGAGATCTAGTAAGACCCATTTCTTTTAAATATTCCAACTTTACCTTAAATTCAAATTGACAATATTCTTAAATATTGTATATAGCATTCTATGAATATTTTAATAGACAATGATAGGGCTATGATCACTGATTTTGGAATATCAAAACATTTAGATGCTTCTACTATTGGTGCCGTTTCAAACGCAGGTGTAAAAGGCGTATCAGCATACGTAGAGCCACAATGTTTTGTTCATTACGAAAAAAAAATAGAAATAAATAAAGAATCTGATATTTATAGTCTAGGCGTACTATTCTGGGAGCTCACAAGTGGAATTCCACCTTTTAACGATTCTCACAATCAAGCCATTGCTATAAAAATTTCACGAGGTCACAGGGAAAACCCCATTGACAAAACACCTCTAGGTTATGCAAAACTTTTTGAAAAATGTTGGTCTACTGAACCAGACCAGCGCCCCACTTTAGACCAAGTTCTAGATGAACTCGATAACATATCAAGGGAATCTAGTGTAGAATTTATTATAAATCGCATTAATACTTCGGCAGGCTTAGAGCATAACACAAATAGTGCCGTTTCGAAGAAAGTTTCGATAGAAATCGCAACTGAAGAGATCTATGAAGAATTTAGTAATCAACGTAAGATTTTGGAAGGTGGATCTGGGATAGTTTATGAGACCAAGTGGAAAAGCCAGGGAATGATGGTTGCTCTCAAGAGGTTATTAGAAATAGTCTTAAATCCGCAGGAAGAAATAAATAAGATATTGGCCGGAAGCTATCAAAATATTCGAGGGTGCGGTCAAGTGATTTCTGACTTATTTTCCGGAATGTTAAAAATATTTGGTTCTTTTTCCAAACCCTTTTTTCTTTTAATTGTTCTTTTTTTTGCGGGGATAATTTTCTATTTCTTAATAATTAATCACACAAATTCTGACATATCTTCTACAAAGTTAGAAATTTGGGGGATTTTTTCCAATCCCTTTTCTCTTTTAGCTGTCTTCGTAGGTGCAATTTCCTTTTTGTCCTTAAGAAATCATACTCTTATTTGCGACATATCATCCAGAATCTATCAAAATATTCAAGGGCGTGGTCAAGTGATTTCAGTCATATTTACTAGAATGTTGGAAAATTTTGGTTCTTTTTCCAAACCCGTTTTTCTTTCAATTGCTCTTTTTTTTGCGGGAATAACTTTCTTTTTTTTCTCAAGAACCAGTCACATATTTTCCAATATATTTTCCAGAATGTTAGAAATTTTTGGTTATTTTTCCAATCCCTTTTTTCTTTCGCTTGTCTTTTTTTTCATAGGTGCAATTTCTTTATTTTCCTTAAAAAATAGTAACTTTATTTCCAACATATCCTCCAGAAGCTATCAAAATATTCGAGGGCGCGGTCAAGTGATTTCAGTCATATTTACCAGAATGTTGGAAATTTTTGGTTCTTTTTCCAAACCCGTTTATCTTTCAATTGCTCTTTTTTTTGTGGGGATAATTTTCTTTTTTTCAAGAAACAATCACATAATTTTTGACATATTCTCTACAAAGTTAGAAATTTGGGGTTTTTTTCCAATCCCTTTTCTCTTTTAGCTGTCTTCGTAGGTGCAATTTCCTTTTTGTCCTTAAGAAATCATACTCTTATTTGCGACATATCATCCAGAATCTATCAAAATATTCAAGGGCGTGGTCAAGTGATTTCAGTCATATTTACTAGAATGTTGGAAATTTTTGGTTCTTTTTCCAAACCCGTTTTTCTTTCAATTGCTCTTTTTTTTGCAAGAATAACTTTTTCTTTTTTCTCAAGAACCTTTTTTCTTTCAGTTCTTTTTTTCGTAGGTGCAATTTTCTTTTTTTCCTTACGGCTACTTTTATAATTCCTGGAACATCTGATAAAAATTAATTGAATGCTTTTTTAAGCCAATAATATATATGATATAATATGATTAGCGATTTATAGACTTTATATATATAAACTAGCAATTCTACTGTGCGAGAGACTTTGTTGCCCGCTCACAGTTTTGAATCAACATGTAATATTATAGTCATATATTCAAATTGAATTGTCAGTTTATTGTTTAGCAATTTTGCATTGATAAATTTATCAACAGAATTTATTCCGGTTGCTCTTTTTAATATAAATAGACTATTAAAAATTAAACTGTATGGTCAAAGTTAAATTGATTAAATGCATAAGAACTTTATTTACAGGCATTCATTGGAGTTACTCAATTTCTGAATTCGTATTTGAACTGATTTCATTATTACTAGTATTCTTGCACATCCTTACGGACATACAATAGGTACCAAATCAATAAATGAAAGAAATTTGTTCTAACATTTAGTATTAAAAATAACCAATTACAGGCTGGAATACATTACTCTTGTCGGGTGGGCAAGGATTTATCAATTTTGCTCAAGATCACTAAAATAATAGTCAATTCGTTAAGTAAAAATGACCAACTGATAATCTCATTATAAACTTGGTTGGTTAGCATTGTTTATACCAGCACAGCTTTAATAATCTCTGACTTAGAATTCAGAATGGCCTGTAGAAGTTTATATGCGGAATATTTGCAATAATTTGATCTATATTAATTCTTTAGGCTATTCTCAAGTAGCACTTAATATGATTTGTTAGTGATAGCAAAATTTATATTTCAACAATTATCCAGGTTTGACTTAAATGATCTAGTGCGATGGGTGATTCTTAGCACCAGCCACCTTATTATTATTTTTGTAATAATATTGTGAGTTAATGTAAAGAATTCCACTACAGAACTTAGTATGTGGTCAAGTTAGCTGTATTAGTATTACCACGATTTCCATTATACTTTACTTTAAAAAATTCTGTTATAGAACTTGCACACACAGTGGTTAAGGTTGAATTGGTTTTTATTAAAATTCATAAAAAAATCTGTTACAGAGCTTGTTATACAATATGTGGTTAAGCTAGTTTGCATTAGAAATTACTGTGATTTCTACTGTGAGTTACTATAAAAAATTCTTTACAGAACTCACAGTTCCGTGATTACGAGTTAGTTTCATTAGGATTACCATGATTTCTATGTAGTTAAGATTTAGATTGTATTAGTATTATTATGATCTCTATTGTAGAATTACTGTAAAAATTGTTACTAACCCTAACTCTAAGCTAACTTTAATATAAACCATATGCTTACCCTAACTTTAATATTCTCAAATTTGCTTAAATTAGATTAAATAATTATTTATTTATATTATAATCAAATAATAATTCTATATTGCCCAGTTATACTAAAGATCAACTTTATTTTATATAATTTATGTTGCATCGATGCATTATAATCCAATATGTATCTGGTTTTTATATAATACATTATTGGAAACTTATCAGGTTTAAATATGGTTACTTTTATATACATGTCATGTTGTTACTGGAGACCTATTAGTAACCCGATAGTTATCCAATATAGATTCATTTGATCTGTGATATGATGAGAAACTATTAATATAGGTTACAAATAAGATACCAATCGGGTAACCGATATTAATATGATCTGCACCATATGTATTACCAAATGGTGCTCTATCTGCACCAATGATCTGTTCAGTAACCTTGCATATCCCTATAATACAAATATAGAAGATCTATCACCTAATAGCTAACCAGTAAGGATTCATTCAACCTGTGTAAATGCAGGTAATATTATTTATTCCACAAATTGAACTCAAACTGTAGTTTTAGTATATTTATATATATATATATTAGAAAGTCAGCCTATTGATTGTGTTAAAGTTCCCAATGGTAAATAATATTTGATTAACTTATAACTAACCAAATTTATTGCTTATTTTTATATTTGTATTTAGATTATTAAATCAAGAAAAGAAGTTATTTAATTGAGAGCTTTCTATTTATTATTGACATGCTACAATAATTCAGCAATTGCTATATATCTTCATGTATGTATGTGCCTAAAGAGAAAAGGATATTGAAATACAGGTTTTGGCCATCAATTTCGGACACCCCTATCAAGAATGAACCTATTCTTAAATGCTTGTTAATTGATTTTATTATTTGGGTGGGTACGTTCTTAATAAGGGTGTCCGAAATTAATAGCCAAAACCTGGAATAAATAGTAAAATTACTTTTATTACTGTTGTTGGTGATAGCCTTGTTACTCTAAAAGAAAAGCCAAAAATTAAAATCTAAATATTAATGCTTCGGATCTCAACAGTTCCTGTTTCCTAGTATAATCAAAATCAAAATTATATTTTATCTCGTTATTTCGATCAATTCTATAATCAATCATTAAGACAATATCTAGTTAGATAATAAAAATAAAGTTAAAATTAACCTTTTTACGTTTTCTAAATGTTCGTTTAGCCATTATCAAGTGACTATATTAAAATATGTATAAAAAAAAAACCTCTAAGCAATGATCGGGTTCGAACTAGAGATGGGTTAATGCGCATTTTATCCCATCTAAATTTTATAGGAAAATTAAAATATACATAATTTAGGTCAGTGTGCATAATGCCGGGCGGAATTAAGAAATAGGAATGCAGAAATTCCGAAAGGAAAATGAAAGACAAAAGACGAGCAGGGTTGGGGCAAAATTTGAGCGAGTATCCGATATCTCACGAAAGGAAAATGCAATGCGCATTTTATCTATCTCCAGTACGAACGTGTCTTGAAAGCGAATTCAGTTTAGATCTTTAATGGGTTATGACAATCTATACAGTATTCAATAAAATAGATAGATGAGGATAATTAAATGCTAAATGTGTAGCAAAAGAATCTTAATGTTACGAGTGATCGTGCGATCAATAGTTTTACACAAAAAATATAGAATTTTTGCGAGGCAACTCGCCAGAGGCGTGACGTTGGTGATTTAGCGGTCTTTTGCCCGTGACATTAGCATTAGATAATAATGTGAGTGCCAACCACGAGTTTGATTTCGTCGATAGTCTCAAGACACCATTTTAAAGTAAGTTACTTGGCGTCAAAGTAAAAAACATAGTATAGAAGTGTGAAATAACAATTTTTTTGTTATGGTAAAGAATACTAATTATACTATAAGATGCAAATGTTAGCTTATAAGTGAAAATATCTTTTTTCGCAAAACAGAGATCGATATAAATTTTATATGTGCTACAGCTAGGGATGTAATTATACTGTATAATATATTTTTGGTATAATAACCGGTTATTATACGGTATAATAACACGTGATTTAAAATCAGAATTTATTCGTATTAGAGTAGCGATCCGTAGCTTTAAAATCCTAGCTATCCGCATAATTTTAGAATCCTATCCGGATTTATAAAAAACTATCCGAAAAATAATTATACTCGGATAGACTCGGATTATTCGTCAGATATCCGGTTATTCGTTTTGGTGTATAAGATTATTATGACTATATATAAATAATAAATTATTATTATTGTTAATCAATAACTACGTATATTATTTATCAGTGACTACATATAACATTATTATTTATCAGCGACTACGTATAAATAATATCATTATAGTTTTTTATTTTTTTCTTATTATCGATACTTTCGATACTTTCGTTAAAAATGTCCACTTCTAACAAAAGACGAAATATATCTGATTCTAATATTTCCAACTCTAACCTTTCTGACTCTAATGAAATCAATGAATCTTCTGAAGAAGAGGTTATTCATTTGAACTTATCTGGTAAGTTCAGTTGGGTGTGGACTTTTTTTCGACAAGAACTTCGTAAAAAAAAAAAGGCAAATGGATAAAATATTCAATAGGTAAAATTGAAGTATTACATCCACCCCAAGTGAACGTTTATTTAGTGATGCCGGTAATTTAATGACATCAAAGAGAACAAGAATTTATCCGGAAGTTTTTAAAAGAATGATGTTTTTTAAAAAAGGAATATTGATCAATATCAAAATATTCATCCTGAATAATGTGTTATTATTTAGCGTTAATAGTAGTATAAGTTTATATAAATAATATAATTGTAAACTTATATGTACTTGTTAATTATAGCAATAGAGTTGTCGTTGTGCATTGAGAAAAATAAAATATTATTATCTTTATTATTATTATCGGATATAGGATATCTGCAAAAAGGATAACGGATAATCCGATCCGATTTAATGTCAGGATCGGATATATCCGTTTAAAAAATATCTGCGTTAAATCCGGATATGGTTATCCGGATCGCTACTCTAATAAGCAGTAATAAAAAATATATTTATACACTGATTTGCTATAGAACTAAATACATAAATTCTATCCTAATATTTTGATACACAAAAATTAATTATATTTCGCATAGTCATTATATTTGCCCGACTCGTTTCGATAATTTATAGTCCTGCCGAAGACATTTGCAATAAGATCTTTTTTTTTTAATGAAAAAACCTTGTTTGACAAATAAATGTTTTTTTCCTTAACGGGATGCTCTCAGGCACTCTTATTAGACAGTAGAAACATTATTACGTACAAAATCATTATCATTTGTTAATAATGCATGTGTATGCTAAATACTGTATTTCTGGTCTTTATTTAAAATTTCTCTCGCAGCCTCACATTATAACAAATAATCTGAATTACAAACAGAATCATTAATCAGCCTTGTGACAATCAAACTTTCAATCACGAATACATATACATACATAAAGTCTTAATATGTAAAAAAACAATCATATGATGTGATGTTCGATATATGATATATGAAAAATAAACATTACGTGATAAATACAGAAATATGGTCACACAGACCAATAAGAACTAAGATTTCGCAGAATAACGCCATTTCTATCGATACGGAATGGATAATTAATCATCCGGTTAATGGGAGGGTAATCATTGGTAAGAGCATAATAATATTTGCATAAAAAGTGTGTCATAATCGGTTATAGTTAAGAAATGCATGAATAGTTAAATAATTGAATGATGATGAATGATATAATTTGCATAGAGTCAAATGTAGTATATATATAAATATAAAGTATATATATAAGGAGCTTAAAAAAAAAAAGTTACACTAAAATTGATAAGCGTGATTTTTACCTTTGTTACCTACTTTTCTCTGTCGATAGTTACATTCGTAGTCATCGAGAGTAACATTACACATTTATTCGAATCAAGAAATCGGGAAAAATCAGCAAATTCTCCGATTTTCACATGACATCGTAATCTGCAAGGGTTCTTTTTGCAGAGTACAATAATTATTAAGAATCGATTGCTTTACCAAATTCGATTTTATTTTTAACTTAGAATCTTGAATAACCTATTTTCAATCTATGATAAACTGATTTCTAAAATCTATTTTAATAACTTTGATTCCCATTCTTAGTTGGCATATTCAAGCTTTAGAGATTGATTGATTTCTAAACTAAAGAATTCAAAAAAGTAGTAATTACATCGTTGACAGAAGCATATGCAATTAAACATGCGGTCAGTGAATTAATGGAGACTTAAATGATGGCTGAGGATTTTTTCTTCGGGTTCGTTTGTCGGGCCATAATTACTTAAAAAATAGCTAATTTGAACTAATTAAGCGAATTTATGAATAGTTAGGATTAGTATGAGGATTAGAGTTTAAATTAACTCAAAATAATTAGTTTTATATATTATTATATTTTTATAATAATTTTATATGCTCACCTATGCTATTAAAATTCTATAACATAATAATAAAAATATGCCCATCTATACTATATATCAACCGCTATGCTAAATTAGTTGATTGTGATTATCGATCCAGCTCATCCGTCATTGAAATCCGTCATTGAAATAATGGATAAATATTATTATGCAATTTTCATTATTTAAATGAGATTAACGTAGTACTGTTTGCGATATTTCCGGTGCATTATCATATTAACCTTGCGAAGTTAAATTCTACATTTGTCCTGTGACAGAGTCACGTACATACGTGTATGTGTAATACATGCCTAATGTTTCAAACCCAAATTCCGTTTTTATTGGTTAACGTGATTAATCTGGTGTTGGCACTATTAAGCTTCAAAACATTTATGCATATTGGAAGAGTATTGCTTATTATGTATTTGGTGTTACCATATATAGGAAGTAACATGTCATACCGATACGTATACACAAAATTTCGGAACTAATAGTGGAGTATATGCAGTATATAGTCCGAATTGCAATACGATATACTGTCATCGAAACAAGTTAATTGGTGAATATTGAGAATAAATAACTTATTAAACTTAGAACGGGATGCATGTATCACAGAATATGATGGTATTCATAATACAGTTTAATCTAATATAGATACAGGTAGGCACGTACGTACGTATTTTTAATGTACTTTCTGGAGTAAGAGACAAAATGGGAATCACCTGCTTTGTCTGTTATTTAGTCTGCTACCTAATCGTGACAATGATAATAGTCTTCATGTTTTTTATTGTAATACAGAATATTTATGTAAATATTCGTAGTGTATGTTTGATAAACAAACCCCTACATATAGATTTACCAGAAAGACTACCTTAAGTACGTACGTACCTTTATTGATTTTTTAACTTTAAGCTAATTCTAGCCCTGAACCTTACCTAAAAGCAATAATTTATATTTACTTTTGGCCTTGTATTACCTAAAAATTTAAGTAAATCCGTGATCTGTGCATGTTACAGTAATCTGTTACCAGGGTAAAGTAGAATGCATCAAAGTATCAATACCGTGACCCAATATCGTGTGTCCGCATAAAAAAAAAAAAATGCTATAGAAATATACGTGCGTAGTGTATGCTGTGTTTTCAGATTAACGTTGGTGTTAATCGCCTAAGTTAAAGTTAGTGTAAATACCCAATCTTTTAACTCCCATAATAAATTAGAGCGTTAATAGTTTGAAGTAAAACAAGGTAACAAAGGGACTTTCAGATCATTTTCGTACGTATATAAAATAAATACTATAATATTTATCTCGTTTGCCAAAATTTAACATATAAGACTGTGTAATTACACACACATAACTTTATCTGACGTGGCACAGCATCTTAATTTAGAAATTAATACAGCAATTTACTGGTTCATGTATATTAACACATGCGCCATACAAATTTTGTTCTTTCCTATATAGAGAAAATTAAGAAACTAGTGAATAACTATTCAATTGCTTGTGATCTATATTTGTTTTATAAATTTAAGAGATCGAGAATACCTTCTTCCCTTACTTTAACATACATGCGCACGTTCGTTTACCATTAAATTAAATTTATGATTACATAATTAGTATTCATTAAATACCCACATTTGTATGTACAATACATATGTACGTATGTAACTACGTTCTACGTGCATCACACTAAAGTACAAAAGTCAAAAAAAAGATGTACGAATATCATTCTACAAATTCTAATTTTAAAAAATTCCATGCAGAAAATAAACAATTGTTTTTTGGATAGTAAATTTGATTATTTGCAGTAAATTTGATATCACGCATGAAAAAAAAAGATTATTATAAGCCATTTTTATTTCGATAAGAAATTTATAATAGACTTTTTTTCCTTTTTTTTTTTTGTCTTATCTTTAAGCATTTGAAAAACAAGCTTTCTAACCCAAATCGGATACCACCGTATTTTTAGATAAGTACGTACTTTAACGTATAGTTATGAAAAAATATAATCATTTCTAATTTTTTAATTTAACGCTTTATTTAGCATTAAAATCATGTCAAATAATTCCAAAAATTCTCTTACTGACACCCCAAAGAAGAAAGTTCGGAAGCTTACGTTAGAACGCACTGACGATCCTAATCTTGCAACTATAGATCTAGACGAAGTAACATCTCTGTTATTAAATTCACATCAAACATATAACGGAAGACAATATTTGAACGGTGTTGATTTTCATTACGTTTTACCATCTGATAAACCAGAATTTGCAAGATTAACTATGTCCTATATATTAAGAAAGCATCTGTGGAAAAAAAATTTTTGCTCACCAATTGAGCAAAAGTTGAATATGGGTGCTACTATAATTGATATTGGGTAATTATAATTTTTTATAATAGTTTATAATTACTTATGATAACTGTTTACAGTAATATAGAGTTTTGGATGCGAAGCAGCCGATAACAGAATTATTTGTATATAATTCATTATCTGGCTGCATAGCATTCAATAACAGTATTATCCGGTAGCTTACGACGACCGAATAAAAAATTGTATCTTTTTCTTTTTTTTCATAAAGTAATATTTTTTATTATTACTGTACTTAAAGGTGTGGCGGAGGTCTTTGGGTGATCGACATGGGTTTAGAATATCCTTCTTCTACATTTATAGGAATTGATGTAGATGCCTCTAACTTCCCATCAAGAGATAAATATCCATCAAATGTCTGTTTTCTTACTTGCAATGTAACACATGGAGTCCCATTTCCTCCAAATATTTTTGATTTTGCTCATATAAGCATGATGTGGTGTGCTTTTTCTGAGCCGCAATGGATTTCATTAATCAAAGAACTCGTTAGAGTTTTAAAATACGATGGATGGATTGAATTTGTTAACCCAAATCCATGCTCTAAAAATCCTGGAAAGGTTGAAAAATTGTTATTTGAATCTGGTAAGTATGTATCAATACAAGTAATACTATAGCATCTTACCTTTAATATACTATTTATTTATTTATTATTATTAATTTTTCTTTTTAGCTTCGAAAGCTTGTATGGAAATAAAAGGTGTTAATATTTCTATTTATGAAACTATACCAAAATATCTTGAGGCAGTCGATGAACTTGATGAAATAAATTGTGCTACTATAGATTATCCCGTAGGTGATTTGTATGGGTGCTTTGGCAAATACGTAAGTAATATTAGCATTATTGTTTATATCTTGTATTCATTCTATTGATATTAACAAGGTTTATTATGTTGTACATAGGCGTTAGAGAATGTTAAGCGAGTATATGAAAGTCTTGGGTTTCTTCCAAAACACATGGAAATATCTAATGAGGAATATAATAATTTATTAAATAAACTTTCCAAAGAAGCAAATGAAAACAAAAGTGTTTGGGAAATTTATAGATGTTTTGCAAAAAAAGTTCAAATTACCAATTAGCAATGAATTATTATCAACTTATTTTGCATTAATATTGTCAACTGTACTTCCGAATAGCAATTAATTTGAACTATATTCTGAATAGAATTATTTGTTATAACTTTTTGTTTGATTTTTATTGTTTTTATAATTAGGTCTTTAGTTAATAAATTTAATTCTACTAGTTTTTAGTTACCAAAAAATACTAAAGTATTATATGCGCATAAAATTAGAACTTCTAATATAATTCTCTTTTTAAACTTTTTTTTCCTTAGTTTAAATATAAGTGTATATACGTAAACTTCTTATATGCAAATATAGATTTTAATTTTACTATTTATTTACTATAATTGCTACAATTTTTATAAAATATAATTTTGTTAATTTGAAATTTTTAATTAGTGTTACAAGTAATTCTCGATATAAGAAAGTTATAAGAATGTTAAATCAGTCTATCACCAGAGCACATCCCGTGTTTATTTTTCACATATATGCACGTGTATGGATCCGATAAAATTAATTTTTTGAAATAAAACAATTTGATTGGATCCGCACACGTGCATGAGTGTAAAAAATAAACATTTACCAACAGCTTACGTAATGTTCAATGACATGTTCAACCAATCAAAATGGGTCACAAGAAGCGTTCGATGTGTTCTCAGAGTTCTCATGAGAACACTTTTATAAATTTATGCACAGTATAAATTTTTACTGTTCACTATTGAATTATTTTTGAGAACAGTAAAATAATAATAGCGTTCTCATAAGTATATAATAAACAGCTGCATACCGTTGTCATATCAAGCCAGAAACCGATTATTAATCTACGGTAAATTAAATAATTTATCTATTATTAAGCAATTTGAATTATTTTTTTTAATCCTAAATTATAACTATAGTATATATTTTCTATTTTCTAATATACTGTATATGAGTGCCGCCAAAAGAAAACCTACAATCGGGCTTTCAAGTATATTGTGTGTACAGTTGGTTATCTGTGTTCCGTCTATGGTAAAAATATCATCGGACACAGATTTCCATAGACGGCACACAGATAACCAACTATGCACAAAATATACTTGAAAGCCCGATTGTAGCTTTTCCTTTGACGGCATTCATATACTATTTGGAATTTTTTTTTTTTTTTTTGTAAAATAAAATCATAGCATGAGAACACTTACATCTATTGCTGTTCTCATAAGAATAGTATTTTGATCTGAAATTTGAACACTGATCATAAGTTGATTTAACAAAACCACGGTTTGGACCTTCCAATTGGATCACAAACCGGAATAAAAACAACCACAACTGTCCACGATACGTTGGAAGAGTTAGAAACAACGACCACGGCAATTATCGGTACGTCGAGAATCAACCAGACAGAGTAACAGTACACTTTTCGATTGTCACGTGAACAAGAAAATAAGAGCAACAAGCGTATTACTTATGTAATTTAAGCAGTAGGCCAGAATGTATGTATTTTATTATAACGTAGGAAATGTATGGAATTATTAGGAGACAAATTTGATTGGAAACATGAAGGATGTCAGCATTTATCATGTACTTTATCTATCTTATGACTTATTAAATATCTTATTCGTGATACATCCTTTTAATTACCCATCTTATGCAAACTAATTATTCCCAATGTTTCCCACCAATTATACATATCGCTTATATCAGATTTCCCCTTATTCCATTATTTACACTTTCCCCACCTTTCCACTTTTCAACGTATACCACCGGAAAACCTATTCATGGTAAGTGATCTTCATGGCGTTAAGCTATTAAACCTAGGTGTCGCACAAAAAATGCGCGGCAGATCTTCGACTTTGATTGGCATTAACTTTTTGATTTTTTCATTACAAAAGATAAATTTTTTAAAAATAAGCTCTACGCTATGGTAAAATTGACCCAAGAACAATTTTCAATTAATGGGCGGCTGTGATTTCATTAGCAAAACTCCGCGTAATTCCGGCTTAAATTTTTGATCGTCGTCTTAGCCAATCAAAATCAAGGATCTGCCGTGCATTTTTTCGGCCGGTACATTGCCTTGTGCCGGCCGAAAATTATATTATCGAAAACTACCGTAGTGTAGTGACTGGACTCGTCCACC